TTTACACTAATCAGTTCAAAATTACTTCCTCTTCGTCAGAGTATCTACAATTCATCTACGCTTCACATGGATCTACAGTTTATCTACAATCTCGACTTCCAGAGAATTTAATTAAACAACGGTCTACAGATTAAACTTCATTGTTCTGATCTAAATACCATCTGACTCGCTTACAATTTATCTAGACTCAATCTACAGCAAATATATACTATGATAATACATATTAGCGATAATTCAATGCTTACATCAGACTATTCAATAATACAGCTTATCATTTCCATAATGAAAAGTGTGTTGCTATCACTCAAATGATTAGAATCTACTGAAATGAAGACACGTTACTCAACACTAAAAACAGTAAAACTAAATCAAACTTCGTTACCAAATCAATGTTCACTGTCCATACCAAAACTAGTTCACAAGTATAGCTACACACAGCTAATATACAATCCAATTAGCTGTAGATTTTCAACAGGAGCGCGATTTATCGGTCGACGGATCTAGATAATTTCGTTTTATCCGAACGAAGCCCAACTCCGCTCTACGGATGCAAGATGCCGTCTACTCGACTAGTACGGGGCTAGAGCGTTCTAAAGGTACGCTTGTGCTGCTCGCACGCGCGTGTACGTTTATATGTGTGTCTGTTTGCGTGTGTAAATATTTATATATACATATACGTATATATAAATATTATATATATTATAATATTATATATAATAATATATATAATAATATATATATATATATATATATATATAAATAAAGTGTACACGCGTGTAGGTACAGGTGTACAGATACGAATACACAGAATACATTATAATATTACTCGTTCGAGCATCTAGTACACAGGAGGCGGACGAGTGAACGCTGTGTCAACTAACAAGTGGGTAACACGTGTGTGTGTGTGGTACGTCTGTGATTGTGTGTGCTCTGGGTGTCCGTGTGTCTATATACAAAACGTACATAACACAGACATCAATTGGCTATCAATATTCATGCCCGCTCTTTCGGAACGTTGCTCGGGACCTCAGCAGAAAAAAAGTACATCGTGAAAGGAGAAACGCGGTTTCGACGAGTTCGAAACCGAATACGGAAAGTTGAGTGCCCGAGGGAGTTTTTTTCAAATTCACTTTCAATCTCAGAGTCCGCGGACGATCGGATCTATCTTGGAATCTTGGAGCATCGAGAACACTTAGCCAACCGAATTAGATCTCCCACTTTTATTTGCAATTCATCAAATATTCTTGTTTTTACGAAACATAGTTTTTAAATAAATTAATTGAATGAGCATAATTGAAGATAATGGAGGTTGTAGTTATAGCTCTTTCTTAAGAGAGTAAATATGAAAGAATTACCATGAGAATTAGACTTTTCTAAGGATCTCTATAAAAACCATTGTAGATTGCATTATTTATATATATTTTCATATCGAGTGCATTTTATATAGCACTGCACTTTCGAATTAGATGCAGAATCCCGTGAATGCAGAAAGATCCGATCAGCGATTCAGATCGCTCAAGATTGGAACGTTCCGCGAATAAAATCAAAACGCAGGAGAAAAAGGGGGGAAGATAGGTTCGCAACGTTCGGAAATCGCGGACACGAATACCACGGAATAAGAGAAATCTGGGACAACCGATGCGTCTCGTGTTTCGCTGATGCCTCGTGGGACAGGATGCACCGATCGGCCACAGACCGGTCAGCGATACTAAACGCACAAGTAACATCAGTTCCTGGGCATTTCTCTCGCTAGTGGACCGAAACAGTTTGCGTTCGGTACCCGGTTGTATCTACCATCGTATTCCCGATTCTAAATTCTCGCGATCCACGCCCATTCTTCGAATTTTTCAACACCGCTCGAAACGATTTCAAAGGTTCGTCTGAAAGTTCGAGAAAGTAGGCACTCCGAGTTGCTCGAATCGCTATCCTGAGGACGCGAGTCTATTCGAGATCGACAGACCGGTACCCTCGTCGTATCAAACACAGAGGAAAAAAAAAGGAAAATAAAGATCAAGCTTTCTTCGCTTGCAAAATATCGTTGCCTGAAAAAGAGAATGCGAACGAGTGGACTACAGATTTCTCTGGAATTCAGCGGTGAATTTGCCTCGCGAAAGGTTCCATTGTCGGTCGGAATCGAGTGATATTCGTTATTTCCGTGCTAACACTGGGATCGAATGCGGACAATCTGCAGTGCACTCGTGAGATGCGTTCGTGGAGCGATTGATGCGACAGAAAGCGTAACGATCGATGATTTCCGCGTCGAGTTCGTCGGAATGAATTACCAAACGCCTCCCTTTTCCTTTCGTTTCCCCATTTCCGAGCTGTCTTTTTTCGTTTCCCGTGATGTGCGCTCCCGAAAGCGACGAAGCATGACTCGATACATGATTCTCGGTACGCAGACCGATGAGCGTGATGAGGAGAGAACTGCTTGAGTCCACTGCGACGAATGATTCGCGTTACCCAGAATTCAAGGTGTGTCGATCACGCAGCAGGCGCATTCAGAGGATCGGAAGAAGTTCAAATATTTAAGGGGAGAAGAGAAGACAACGGGTCTACGGAGGATTGATCGAGATTATGTCAACGTTCTCGTGGAGAGATCATCGGATCACCGGAGAAACAAGACGAGAATTCATCTGCGTAACAGAGATCACTAAAAATCAGCAAATTTCAGATTATAAACAGTGACGTTCGTTCTTCTGTATCTTTTAAGTACATATTTTCACACTGTTCTCATTAGTCACTCGTATAAACGGTATTAATGATGTAAACTACGGAAAGTCACCAGAATCGTTAACATAATGTTGAACAAGCCGGTGCACGCGGTGTCGCCGAACTTCGTCGGCGGAAGTGTTTCGAAGGTGCGTCGAGTCCCGTGGAAATGTATGAAAATTTGTCGATACTCCGAGTACCATCGAAACACTCCGAGAGTCGCGTTCGTTCGGGACACCCGGTGCACAGAAGAACGAAGAGTTCGAACGGAGACTCGAATGCAGGCAGCGAGTCTCGCCAGCAGAAAGAAACAATCGGGACTTCTGGGTAACGTAGCACAGTCCTTGCAGGATATGAGGTGTGCGAGCCAAGTGCATCGACTATGAGTTGCACCCGGTATACAGGACGTCTCCGAAATCATTCGACAATTGATTCAAATTAGGCTGAGTCTACGAGAAGAACTGTATCGAAAGTGAAGGGAATTTTTTTCGTGGAACGTTTCCTTTCCGAGGGAATTTTAATGAACTACTGAAATTAGCAGATCGAAATGATTTCTTTTATGATTAATGAGAAAGTATAAGCACTTGTTTTAGGAATGATTTTAGAAATGATTCAAGAAGCTGATTCAGTGACACTTAGACTGATATATAAGGAAATTAAAGTTTTAATAAATGTATGGTTGTAGCGACTAGAATTAATATCGAATAAAAGGAAATTTCTTCGTGGAACGTTTCGTTTCCGAGGGAATTTTAATGAATTACTAAAATTAGCAGATCGAAATGATTTCTTCTTTTATGATTAATGAGAAGGTATAAGCACTTGGTTTGAAATGATTTTAGAAATGATTCAGTAATACTTGGATTGAAATATAGGAAAATTAAAGTTTTAATAAATTTATGGTTGCAGCGACTAGAAATAAATATCGAACAATCAATTCAAGTGCTCCATAGTGAAGTAGATAAGGTGATTCACGATCAGACCTGATATGACACGAGAAATCTTCGAAAACGATTATTTCGGAAACGAAGGATTGCACGGGAAAAGTATATTCTTCCTTCTCAACTTGATTTTCCTTGTAGAATCGATATATAATGATTTCACGAAGATCCTGTATACGCGTGTGCGTGTGAATGACTATAATGATGCCTGGAGCGAGCGAGGCTGAAATTCTGAAGAGGAATCCAAGAAGAATCGTGAAATTTTGAGTCGGTGGCAAGCTGAATGCCAATTGGGGTGAATCCCGGGGGTTTCATGGGGAAATTTCGCCTCGTTGCTCAGAGATCGATTGGATCTATGGGATCAACTGAGGGGGAGATCTAAGTTGTTCGATGCACGAGCAGGAATGATACTTGGTGCTTCGTTCCGTGGCCACGGTCGCTTCTTCGATTTTATACAAATCAATTGTACCTTCAATGATCTACAATCTAATCATTTAAACATTGAATAAAACGATTATAAAAAATTAACTTTCGATGATTTACCGAATCCAAAACATCTTCCTTTCCCAACTAAATCCCAGCTCGAAGAAAGTAAGAAAATCCCGTAATCTAGAACACGAACACTTTAACGTGCGCGCGTTCGTCTGTTCGCGCGCGTGTCCTTTCATCCATCGTTCACTTTTAATGCGCATTGTAACAGAAGCCCTCTCCCCGCGATTGCCAACGAATAAACAAAGAAACAGAGCCAAGTGCGCGGCCACGTCACGGAGCACCACTCAAAAAGAAACACGAAAGGTCAGAATGAACAACGATCCTCGGGCACATATGTAAATATGCATCCCAATATATACATACATGTATATATATACATATCTACACATACATACATGTATATAAATATATACACAAGAGATAAAATAAGGGCAGTGTGTATGTGGTGTGCAAGACGGACGAAGAACGGTGGTGGTAGACTTTATGGGTTATGAATTCGGGAATGTATAAAGTTACACAGAAAGAGATATATATATATATATATATATATATATATATATATATATATAGAGAGAGAGAGAGAGAGCGAAGAGATATACAGAAAACGGAGTGAACAGAGAATGATAGAAAGAGAAGAGAGTAGAGAGTGAGAGAGAGAGAGAGTAGAGTAGAGAAGAGAGAAAAGTGGAAGAAAGACAAGAATAGACTGAAGACACAGAAATAGAGATACAAGGGTTTCACAGGGGCTGGTGAGGGGTTTGTGGAGGTGGGGCGGGGCGGTGGGCGTAAAATTTAATAGGAGATATAAAAGTACTGTCTGTCGTGGTCCATGAAGCGCTGAAGAGGGCCGGAGGTACTTACCCTGTGCATCATACTTACTGGAAAAGTTCCTCGTCGCCAACATGGTCGTCAGAATAGCGACCTGTGGACAAAGAACAGAGAGCAAAGTATATATACAAGGCGTTCTCGTTTCGCTCTCGCATTAACGTCTACGACTAACCAGAAAAGTCGAATTGATCCGCCACTGCTTCCTTTCGCGATTAACATTAGGTTTACATTTACCGCGCGGTTTGTTCTACTACACCTAGAACAATTCATTTTCGTTCGTTCGGACTTTGGAAGTTAGAGATTTAAAAATAGTTAATCGAAGTACGTATTGACGCGCTCCGTAAACCTAGTGTTAATGAGATAACGAATGATTTAACCAGTTAACTGTGGAATTTAGGAAAACCTCTCGTTCTCGCAATAAAATAAAATGCAGCGCGTACTCGTCGAAGGACGAATGCACGTAGAGTATATTTCAATGAAAGATCGAAGCGAAACTAAGGATTACATGTTTATGTGAAAAAATAAAGAATTATTATGATGACGTGTATACTCGTCGAACACAGGTAACCGGTTAAAGAATTCTTGAAATCGATTGAAATCTTGATAGATGTGGTTTATATGGACTACTGGTGCTTTTAGCTTATAGAATATTCTGTAAAAGTTTCTATAAGAAAATTAGAAAAGCCAATTCGACTGTTGGATAGTTTCAGTGTTACAGTGTTGTATTAATCCACCGGTGTTCTCCGTTTTGTCTTGATCACGGGCGAATTGAGAGAGAAAGAGTCACTGATATTAATTGCCTGTTTGTCTCGGAACGCGCGAGGGGATTATTGATATTAATGTACGGACCAGTTAGTTTTCTCGCGCGAGATACGCGTTACGAGTCACCGGAGTTAACGGAAGCTTCATTTGTCTCGATTACCCGGGAAACGGTGACGGGGGAAATCGTCTCCGTTGCACGGGATGTTTTCCGATTGTAACTGCGAGTCGTGTGTTTTTATAAAGAACAGTGACGCTGCGGATGTAATAGGAAACGTTACGAAACGATGTATCTCTGAAATAATTGAAAGTAACACTGTTCTCGCGACAGTGACAACCGAATCTATCATTTGGAACTCTACACTTAAAGATCGAGTTTCCACGTTGCTGAACGCGGAACTTCAAACGAAAAGTGCATTACATACTATAAACTGCACTTTCTAAGCGTTACGAAACGATGTATCTTTGAAATAATTGAAACTAACGTTGTTCTCGTTATAGTCACAACCGAATCTATCACTGGGAACTCTATATTTAAAGAATATCAAGTTTCCATCTTGCAGCACGCGGAACTTCGAACGAGAAGTGCATTGAATACTATAAACTGCACTTTCTAATAGGAAACACTGTCCAACACCTTCAAATCCATCCTCTGAAAATAAAACGTTACGAAACGATGTATCTCTGAAATAATTGAAACTAACGTTCTTCTCATGATAATCACAATTGAATCTATCACTCGGAACTCTATATTTAAAAAAGATCAAGTTTCCACGCTGCACCACGAATCCATCCACCGAAGAAAATCAACGCAATCCCAGTCAGGACGGAACCAGGATCCCCCGTTTTGAAGCGACCTGTACACACCGAGCGAGCGGCAGAACCCCGCAGCGGGCCGCAATGCATCAGAAGCAACGGGAACAAGAAGCGGACGGGCGGCGTTCAGAAACTCGAGCGGAGAGGCCGTAAATATCAATCAAGAAACACGAGACGCGGCGGTCGGGCGACGAGAAGAGCACAGAATTAAAAGAGAAAAAAGGGGGAAAAACGTGGAAACGAACGGTTCCGCGAGAACAGAGAGAAAAAGAGGAGCACGCGGAGGAGGAGGGGGGAAAAGGGTAACTCGAGCTTTGTTATTCATTCGAGGCGGCGAACGGCGAAATAACGCCGCGTAACAGGTTAAGTATCGCGGCTCTAATTAACTCGACTTTCGATCGCGGCCGATGAAAACTCCGGCGAACGAGGCCGCGAGGGGAGGGGGCTGGTCGGCGGATATCAAACTCGTTTAACTGCAATTTTATTTAGCTCGCACAAGTTCCGGGAGGTTTAATTTTTCACGGTGATTCCGCGGAGTTGCGCAAGTTCCGCGATATCGGGATAGTTCGCCGATTCCCCGTTTCGGGATCGCCTCCCGGAGACTTCGGATAATGGAGGCTCGCCAGTTAACTGCGCGAAATGTAAATGAAACTCGAGTTCACCGAGTTCTTTCGATCGTACGTCGCAGTAGCAGATTGCGAATCTTCGAATTGCTAGCAATTCGATTCTGAATCGTTCAGCTCGTCGCGACTGTAAATTTCTTCGGAGAAAGTTCGGAAATTAATCGCGTATCGACTGTACACCAGGAAACGTGTCATCCATTACGAAGGTCCGCGCCTCGACCGAGCGCGCAATAATTTCGCAAAGTCAAATATTTGGCTTGCGAGGCACCGAGATCCCGTGCGAGGGTGATCGTTAAGGGGTTGAAATTTGAATTCGATGAAGCAGCGTTCCCTTCAGCGACTTTCGATTGTAGCTTGCTATAATGTTTGATGAATTTTGAGATTCACGTGAACAATTCGATTATAATTGAGATCATCGCGATCGCAGTTTTACGCAGTTCTCTGCACTAGGTTGGGTAAAATGCGAAAGTAATTAATCTCGTATCCACTGCACACTGGGAAACGTGTTACCTATTAGGAATGAAGGCGCGCGCCTCGACCGAGCGCGCAATAATTTCGCAAAGTCAAATATTTGGCTACGAGGCACCGAGATTCCCGTGCGAGGGTGATCGTTAAGGGTTGAAATTTGAATTCGAACGAAGCAACGCTCCCACCGTCGTTGGGAAGATCGATGGCAGACGCGGGTACACGTCGAACGATCGGATCCGCGTGAAAGGAGCTCTAGAAAATGAAAGAGAAAAGCCCGGGGAAAAGCGGCGGGGAAGCTAGAGGCGAGAAACACTTTCGGTTTCCGCTGGAGAGCATTCGAATGAATAAAACATCCCGTTTCTTTCGTCCGCGCCCGATGCAAAGGACGCGATAACGTCTCGCGCGGGCACGCGATATCGGCGTTTCATTCCGATAAAAGACACTCGCGATGCAAATTAACGGTCGATCCATCGATCTCTGTTTCTGGAACTCGGTTAAGAAATAGAGAGGCGAAAAAAGTGACCGGTGGACGCTAGAGGCTGTCGATTCAAGGGAAATTCGTGATCTGGTTCGAGGGAGTGTGGAACGAGTCGTTTGATCCATGGATCAGTTTTCGAATTGACGGGATGAACGTTTAATAGTAGAACTATTGGACAAATGAAAATGATTTCAAGATTTCAAAATTCCTGCATTCGAGTGCAGAAATAAGCCCTTCAGACTTCAAGAAATCTGCTTTGCTAATTTTAATGACGAATTATGAATAGCTCTGTCTTATTGCTCGGTAGTTCTGGTTTTAACCCTTTGCGCTCGAGAGGTGACTCTCACTCACCTGATTTCATACAGTAAAACTATAAAATTTGATATTTAATATTATACCTCGTACAATGCATCAATTTGAGAAATATTGAAATAAAATAGCATTGTCCCTCAATGTAATATAATTTCTCTTCAAGTTGGTTTCACAAAATATCGTCTTTATCTCATTAGAAAATGTTAAAATATTTCCAATGAAAAATTTCCGAGTGCAAAGGTTAAAGAACAGAAGAAAGCAATGAAAGCGAGTTTTGAATATCCTGCTGCACAGGATCACGGGATCGTTTAATAAGCCATAAATGAATTCGAAGCTCCGCGTCCCGGTGATTTTATCTCGCTCATTTTTGTTCCATTTATGTATCATCGCAAAAAAAAACAGCTATATTCTCCGGGGAACGGGCGCGAAATGGATCCGTGCAATGGTCCGTCGATTATTTATTAAACGGGACGCGATGGAACTCGACGGAATACCTCGGGAATGGTCGCTTCCTGTTGCCTGCGCAACGTGAACCTGCTCTTCAACCCCCTCATGATCCGTGCGTGTCGATCTCTCCGTCGCTCGCCGAATTCCACTTCGCACTTGATTCGCACTTTTCGCGAGCGTTTTTCAACGTACCGGCACTGTGCGTGTAGCACCTACTTCTACAGTAACCAGTCGAATAGCTCGACGGTAGCACTACCAAAACACAGGACTACGTTCTAAAATGATCGGAAATAAAATTGAGAAGGAAAATTTCAGGAAAGGATATGTAATCTAATCAATAAGTACTGTCAGATCTAAAACACGAGATCACGTTCTAAAATGATCGAAAATACAATTGAAAGCGACAATTTCAGGAAAGAATATATAATCTAATCAATAAGTATTGTCAGATCTAAAACGCACTAGGTTCTAGAATTATCAAAGATGCACGGACAACAGTTCAACCCTTGCACTCGAAAGATTTCCACTGGAAACATTCAACATTTTCCGATGAGACACAACATTATTCGAAAGTAACGGTAATTCACAGATAAATCAAGGAACAAAGCTTTCATTCAAATATTCCACACAGCAACACAAACTTCAATTCAAAATAATATTCAACTTCATAGATCCATTATATTAAATCAAGCGACCGAGGGTCACCTCTCGAGCGCAAGGGTTAAAAGGATAACTTCGCGAAAGAACACATAAACCAGTCGATAAGTACTTCCGGATCCTTTACGAGAGATTCGAAACGAGTGACCGTAACTGCTCGGCAGCCCCGGCGTTAACAATATTCCCATTCTCCGCGGAACACGTCGGAATTACGGAAAACTCGGGGAAAGATCGTTACCCGGTCTAGCCGGTCCCGCTCGCCGATGCGCGATTAAACTACAAACTGGAACAGAGTTAATTCAGCGTGCGCAACCCTCGGATCGGACGGTGCCGATAAATTATCCCCGCGGAACGGCCGACTGCAAGAAACCATCGGCGGGAGAGCTCACGCCACAGCCTCCGAGAGCCAATTAATTGAAACGAATC